TATATATATATAGCCAATAAAAATAGTGTAATTTTCTTGTGTGTTTTGGTAATTTTTAGTAGTTGTTTTTTATACTAGTGTGTGACAAATCAGATGTGTATGTTGTGTTCAGGGTCTGGCGCAGTTGTGCGAGACGATCGAGGAGTGCTGGGATCACGACGCGGAGGCACGGTTATCAGCCGGCTGCGTGGAGGAGCGAATCTCTCAGATCCGCCGCCTGACGAGCGTCACTACCTCAGACTGCCTGCTTTCCACCGTCACCTCGCTCACCAACGTGGACCTGCCTCCCAAAGAGCCCAGCATCTGACCCTCGTCTTTCCAAACTCAGAGAATCTCAAACCACATCGAAGCAGCTGCTATTTTATCCTAGTGTTTTTTTTTAAACTTTATTATTATTATTGTTGTTATTATTGTTATTGTTATTTTTCTGATCGGATCAGTAACTACCAGCACACTTCTCTACTGTATTTTTATCATCAGAGCAAACGCAGAAGATTTTTAAACATGCATTCAGGTGCCGACAAATGAATGCTGACCGGTGCACGTACCTCGACGTTTTCAGTTCTGCCGATTCCGTTGATTTTTCTCGCTCATCTTCTTCTGGTTTTTCCGTTCGGATCGACGAGCAACCAGTTCATCTGAAGATTCAACAGTGCTGCAAACCCCGCGAGGATCATGATGACTGTTACACGCGCAACCCGACCTCCTTGCCGGGATTTCGCTTTCTTAATTCTCTTTTTCCGACAGTGTGCTATTCGAAAATTACGGAAAACGTGTCTTTTACGGAACTAACGGGTGTTGAGGAACACGACGGAAAAGACATCTGGACTAATTCCTTTCTTTCTTTCTTTTGTTTCGGTTTTATTTCGTGGTTGGCTTTTATCGAGTGGATATGGCTGGAAACTCTTGCATGTGGAAATATGGGAGGTTTGGTACGGAAATCTTTCTCAGGTATCCAGTGTCAAGGGGTCCACGACTGCCTTTCCCACGTCATTATAGGACCGAGAGAAATATAGCGGTGCCCTGATGAATTTAACACTAAACATGCAAGACCGTGTGTGTGTGAGTAAGTGTGTGTGTGTGTGTTTGGTGCTGAGAGTTTGTTGAAAATAGAAAAAAAGACCATAAAAAGTTTGGCCCGTATGAACGTAAGTGTTGGTTTTTCCTGTCTAGTTTCTCTTGTAATAATGCAACGTGTTTTTTACTCAGAAGAGTGAAATTCTGGGTCAAAACACCTCGAAATCAAAGGAAAAAAATAAGAAATGATATTTGTCGTAAATAAAATAAAGGCTTTTTAGGAGCATTAAGATTTTATTTTTTTTTTTTTAATTGTGGCATTATAATTAAGCACATTGTCTTTCAAATTCTTATGACCGTAATGCAATATATTATTTCTGGTAATTTCATCATTCTCAGTGCTTATTTTATTTCTGCAATACTTTAATTATGCTGGTGATTTATACATGTTTTACCCGAAATTCTAATGACCATTTTTGTTTTTTATTTCTATTATTTTTATTTATTTTTTGGTAATTCTCATTGTTCTCAATGTTGACTACATAAATTCTTATATAATAATTTACACTGATTTAAATTTGTAAAAAATCAGTACGGGTAGTACAACAAATATTAAATGATATTAAAACATTTTACACTAAATTCTCATGACTGTAATGCATCGAGATCCAGATGTTTTTTAATTTTTTTTACTTATTAGCATTATTTGTATTCTTTTTGTAATTCTAATTATTCTCAATGTTGATTCCAATTAGATTCTTATTACTATAATATAAAAAATGAATGCTGGTTTTAATTAAAAGTGCTGAAAAAAAAGATATAAAAACATGATCAAATTCTGATTTTTACTTTTTACTTTTTTTATTTTTGGTAATTCTCATTATTCTCAATGCTGATTCTAATTATTACTGTAACATAATTAAGCTGAATTAATTTTATTTTTTTAAATCAGTTCAGGCAGTCCAACTAATACTGCAATCTATAAATTAAAATAATAAAAAAGTTATATATTTTTTTTAAGATAATTTTGGGGGGAAATGTGCTTAATTGTTGTGAAAATATTAAACAATGCAAAATACCTAAATATAGGCAAAAGCAAAGTACAATTTCTTGTTTTTTTTTTCTTTGACTTGAAGCTGAAATACGACCCTGTTTTCTGCGATTCACCCGGGAAGTGTTTGGTTTTGTGTGTTTTGGTCGGGTCCCTTCATGTATTACCTCTCTTTCTAACAGGGACCAAATCTGAGATCTGACCTCCGACTATATTGAGACTTCAGTTTGGGGCTAAAAATTAGAGATCGTCAAACTTCACTTTGACCAGGTGACGTTTGACTCATTAGCAAAGACAAAAAACACAAGAATGATATTTATTTTGTCTTAAAAGTGGCTAGTGATCCACGTTTCCATATGCCATAATTCAAGAGTGAGTTTCCACAGTGCTGCTTCTGCTGTTTGGATGAAACATCGTGATATTTTCTATATCTTCTCAGTAAAGTTCATCCTCAGATGCAACCGCGTGTCACCGGACATTCAAAAGGCTTCCGAGACGAACGAGCGCAACTCTAAACAATAAAATTAGTTGTGAAAGGACAAAAAAAGTTATTATTCATGAACCACAGACCACCTCAGACCAGAAATACCTCAGATTTTCTACGTGTTTGACTTCTGTTATATATTTTGTTAGTTGTGTTGACTTGTAGTAAGTATATTTTGATGTAAGTTGGCTTTTATGATTAGGAAAGATGTTTTTGGAGAAGTAAAAAGAAAAAATACACAAAAAAAAGAAGTGCTACTAAGCTGTGTTGTATAAACAAGAGAAACCTTTGATGTAAATAGCTGTAAACAGATGTAGTATCGTGCCGATCAGTGAAACAGGGCATTATTCTGCTTATTCTTCCTGTCTCTGACTTCACGGGACATTGAACCTTAAACGTTTGGCGCTTCTTCCAAAAATTTGATTGTATTTCCCTATTTTTACTTGCACAATTTTTTACCTACCCCTTGTACGACGTTACGAGGGACAAAATTTAACCTGTCGTTCATAAGAAACCTTAAAGGGATTAAAGTTCAACGAAAAATGACATTTATGTCTTCATTTACACTCTCTCAAGTTATTAAAACCTGCATGACTTTATTTCTTCTGTTGAACACGAAGTTATTTTGAAGGCCTAAAAGTTGCCGGTAGCCATTGACTTCCATTCTACAAAATATCATCTTAAAAATATCTTATTTTGAAGAATGTTGGAACCAAATAGTTGACGGCAGCCATCGACTTCCATAGTATTTTATTTCCCTACAATGGAAGTCAATGGCTGCTGTCAACTTTTTGGTTCAACATTTTTCTAAATATTTTCTTAAAAATATCTTATTTTGAAGCATTTTTAGAACCAAACAATTGACGGTAGCCATTGACTTCCATAGTATTTTTTTTTTCCTACAATGGAAGTCAATGGCTAGCGTCAGCTGTTTGGTTACTAACATTCTTCAAAATATTGTTTTCAAAATATATTATTTTGAAGAATGTTGGCAACCAAACAGTTGACGGCAGCCATCGACTTCCATAGTATTTTTTCTCCATACTATGGAAGTCAATGGCTGCTGTCAACTTTTGCGCTCCACATTTCCTTCAACATTTTTCAAAATATTTTCTTCAAAATATCTTATTTTGAAGCATTTTGGGAACCAAACAGTTGACGGTAGCCATTGACTTCCATAGTATTTGTTTTTCCTATTATGAAAGTCAATAGCTACCATCATCTGTTTGGTTACCAACATTCTTCAAAATAAGATATTTTTAAAACAATATTTTGAAGAATGTTAGTAACAAAATAGCTTCTCCAAAATATCTTATTTTGAAGAATGTTGGTAACCAAAATATCTTATTTTGAAGCATTTTGGGAACCAAACAATTGACGGTAGCCATTGACTTCCATAGTATTTTTTTCCTACTGTGGAAGTCGATGGCTGCCGTCAACTGTTTGGTTACTAACATTCTTCAAAATATTTCATTTGTAGAATGTTGAGAACCAAACAATTGACGGTAGCCATTGTCTTCCATAGTATATAATTTTCTTTCATACTATGGAAGTAAATGGCTACCGTCGACCCCAAAGTATCTTCTGATGACCGAACTGACATTTTTGGGTGAACTATCCCTTTAAGAATTGACTGTGAACCCAACGCTTACCAAATGACCTCGGCCAAATTTTACCGGCGATTTCACAAAGATTTTCAGGGCCAAATGAAGGTTCGGTGTCCCGAACGTTTGTGCCATTTCTCTGCTCTCTGTACCCATGATGCACTGCAGCGGTCGCTTCAACTTCCTCTCAAACCCAGCTCAGAGCTTTAAGTTATCCATTATGGTGCCATATATCATGAGTTGAAATGAAGATCCGTCTTTGACAACTTTTTGATTGACCTTTTTAGATCACAAGTCAGCTGTTAATTTTTTATTTTTTTTATTTTTTATATATATATTTAAAAAAAAAAAAAAAAATTTTTCCCCGGTGCGCTTCATTGGTCTCTTTTGTTTTCGGTTGCGATGTCGTAGCATTAGAAACGTTGCGACGGCCAATTCTGGCACGGCGAAATCCCAAAGTGCCAAAGTAGCGCGTTTCCCAGCGATGGCTCGGCCAATCACGGGTCAGCTCTGCATCTCGATACTTTCAGGAAACTGCGTTCTCTTCAGGTTAACCGGGAAAGTTCGGATTGGTTGCGCAATTGGAGAGTTTCCGACCGACTCAGACGATGTAGCAAGCAATATCTCCAGCAATAGTCTGTAGACGACCTTTGGGCATTGAGATCCACATCAGGCCAGCTTCGATCGCGTGCTCGTAGACCTTCGTGGCGATTCGATGAACTGACGTCGTTTCGTTTGAAATAACGTACGATATGTAGCCAAATTCCTTCTGCGAGAGGAAAACCAAAGGCTTTGATTGTTTAACGTTAGCTGATTGTATTTACAAATGTCTTTGTGTCTTTATCGTCGATAAAAGTGAGGTTTTAGTGTTGCCAGACTGTACTGGAGGAGTTTGTGATCTTCTCTAGTGGTCGGATGAAGTGAAAGGCTTTCGGTTTGTTTTATGCATCATATTGTGGGTGGTTTCGGCGAGTTTTCAGACTGAGAGATGTAATTTATATAATGCGCTCACATGCTTCATTATGCACTAAAGACAGTCCAGTGTTTCTCCAGTATGTCGTCACCTCCAATTACACCTGATTTACAGCCTTCTAACACCTTTGTATCTCATGAAACTTCTTAAGAAACATATTTCACACCATAACCAAAATAAATTATATTTTGCATATGTTTAGGATCAAGGTAACTAATTCTATCGCTGCATATATATACATATATATATTAAAGAGCGACAAAACGGTATTTATTGCTTGAATTTCCTAATAAAATCGACAGAATTTGAAATCTGAGGCTTTGTTTCGTATCAAAAGTAACAACGCACAAAGCTTAGCCTATTGGGATTTATTGGATAGATGCGCGGTTCGTTCATCAACTGAAAACAGAATCGATTGGGATTTAAGAATCGATATTGGTTCATAAAAATGAGAATCTATTCATATCGAGAAATCTATTTTTTTAACCCAGCCCGAGCATATTTAGTTGTTTTTAGTGGCCTCTGCTGTGACTGCGGTGTGTGATGTTGAACATGAAAACATCTGTTCTCTCATAAATTAATAAATGCATAAGGTTATATGCTCATCATGTAGGTTCATTATTAAAAATGAAAATGTGAACAAAAATTCAAGCAATTAAATGTGTTATTATAATTATTAAAATATAAATATAATTATTAAAATATGAAAATTAAAATGATGGGTAATAATAGATTATGATGGAATAATGTATGTGTGTGTGTGTGTATATATATATAAAACGTTAAAATAAAATTGACTTGAAATAAAGTTAACTGAAATAAAATTTCTTACAAATATATAGATATTGTTTAAAAAAAATTAAAAAGCATGACAAAAATGGCAAAAGCACAAACAAGATTACTAAAAGTTTAACTAAAATTAAAATGAAAACAAAATATTAATTCAAATATTAATAACAACTATAACAGTAAATCTTAATCTTTTTTTATTTATATTTTCTGTTTTCATTTGAATTGTATTTAAAGTTTTAGTAATTTTGTGCTTTTGTCATGTTTTTGTCATTTTTTTTAATCAATGTTTATATATTTTTAGGAAATTTTATTTTAATTTTAGTATATTTCAAGTCAACTTAAATTACCTAAAAAAAAAAATGTTGCTTTGTCAACTGCCTGCAATAAAAAGGTTTTTGTATTATTTTTTTTTAATTAACATTTATTTTATTTCAAAAAACAAATGTTTTAATGGGTTTTATTTTAGTTTATATACACTGATTAATTGAACAATTAATTG